TCGGGTCGGGTTGGGTTGGGTCAGGTTGGTTGGGGTTGGTTGGTTGGGGTTGGTTGGGTCGGGTTGGGTTGGGTCAGGTTGGTTGGGGTTGGTTGGGTCGGGTCGGGTTGGGTTGGGCCCAGTTGGGTTGGGGTGGTGAAGGTGAGGGGCCCTTCTTCCTCCTCTCTGAGCTGTTGTGTCGAACCCTGTGCAGGGCTGCGGAGGCTGTGCTGCAGGGCCGGGCCGACTCCATCCTGGCCTACCACCAGCAGAATGTGCCCCGGGCCAAGCTTGACCAGGTGGGTGTGGTGCTGGCTGGGCCTGGGGCCTCCATTAGCAGCCACCTGGGCCGGTGCACCCTGCCTTGTCTCACGCTCTGCCTTTGTCCTCTTGCAGGCCCCCAAAGCGCTCTCCACCCCAGAGCCGCTCCCCCTGAGCACACCGTCTGCAGGCACCCCACAATCCCAGCCACCTCAACTGCCACCCCCGCCCCCAGCCCCTGGCAGTGCCCCCCCCGCTCTGCCTTCTGAGGGACCTCCTGAGGACACTAATCAGGACCTGACACCCAACTCAGTGGGAGCTGCCAGCACAGGTGGTGGGACTGGGGGTACCCACCCGAACACCCCTACAGCTGCTACGAACAACAACCCGCTGCCTCCAGGAGGAGACCCCAGCGTCGCCCCTGGCCCTGCCCTCCTTGGGGAGGCCCCCCCCCCAGGAAGCGGGCAGCGCAGCCTGGTGGGCTCGGAGGGGCTGTCCAAGGAGCAGCTAGAGCACCGGGAGCGCTCCCTACAGACCCTGCGGGATATTGAACGGCTGCTGCTCCGCAGTGGGGAGACCGAGCCTTTCCTCAAGGGACCCCCGGGGGGCGCAGGTGAGGTCGGACCACCAGCACCAGCCCCTTCCGCGCCCCCGCAGCCCCCCACTGCCCCTCCTGGCGGGCTGAAGAAGTACGAGGAGCCCTTGCAGTCCATGATTTCGCAGACACAGAGCTTAGGGGGCCCCCCACTGGAGCATGAGGTGCCTGGGCACCCCCCAGGCGGGGACATGGGACAGCAGATGAACATGATGATGCAGAGGCTGGGCCAAGACAGCCTGACGCCCGAGCAGGTGGCCTGGCGCAAGCTGCAGGAGGAGTACTATGAGGAAAAGCGGCGGAAGGAGGAGCAGATTGGGCTCCACGGGGGCCGCCCGCTGCAGGACATGATGGGCATGGGCGCGGTGATGGTGAGGGGGCCGCCGCCTCCCTACCACAGCAAGCCTGGGGACCAGTGGCCGCCCGGGATGGGCGCCCAGCTGCGGGGGCCCATGGATGTCCAAGATCCCATGCAGCTCCGGGGCGGACCTCCCTTTCCCGGCCCCCGTTTCCCAGGCAACCAGATGCAACGGGTGCCTGGGTTTGGGGGCATGCAGGGCATGCCCATGGAGGTGCCTATGAATGCCATGCAGAGGCCTGTGAGGCCGGGCATGGGCTGGACCGAAGACTTACCCCCCATGGGGGGGCCCAGCAGTTTTGCTCAGAACCCCGTGCCCTACCCAGGTGGGCAGAGTGAAGCAGAGCGATTCATGACCCCCCGGGTTCGTGAGGAGCTGCTGCGGCACCAGCTGCTAGAGAAGCGGTCCCTGGGTATGCAGCGCCCCATGGGCATGGCCAGCGGCGGCGGCATGGGGCAGGGCGTGGAGATGGAGCGGATGATGCAGGCGCACCGGCAGATGGACCCAGCCATGTTCCCCGGGCAGATGGCGGGCGGTGAGAGCCTGGCGGGCACTCCCATGGGCATGGACTTTGGCGGAGGCCGGGGCCTTCTAAGCCCCCCGATGGGGCAGTCCGGGCTGAGGGAGGTGGACCCCCCCTTGGGGCCAGGCAACCTCAACATGAACATGAACGTGAACATGAACATGAACATGAACCTGAATGTGCAGATGACCCCGCAGCAGCAGATGCTGATGGCGCAGAAGATGCGAGGCCCTGGGGACATGCTGGGTCCGCAGGGCCTCAGCCCCGAGGACGTGGCCCGGGTGCGGGCCCAGAGCAGCGGCGGCCTAGTGGGCGGCCCGCAGAAGATGCTGATGCCCTCGCAGTTCCCCAGCCAGGGCCAGCCGGGCTTCTCCGGAGGCCAGGGGCCCTACCAGGCCCTGCCACAGGACATGGGCAACACCCAGGACATGTTCAGCCCCGACCAGAACTCCATGCCCATGAGCAATGTGGGGACCACTCGGCTCAGCCACATGCCTCTGCCCCCTGCATCCAACCCTCCGGGGTCTGTGCACGCAGCCCCAAGCCGGGGGCTGGGCCGACGCCCTTCAGACCTCACCATCAGTGTTAATCAGATGGGCTCGCCGGGCATGGGGCACCTGAAGTCGCCCACACTTAGCCAGGTGCACTCCCCGCTGGTCACCTCGCCCACTGCCAACCTGAAGTCACCCCAGACTCCCTCACAGATGGTGCCCTTGCCTTCTGCCAACCCGCCGGGACCTCTCAAGTCGCCCCAGGTCCTGGGCTCCTCGCTCAGTGCCCGCTCGCCCACGGGCTCTCCCAGCAGGCTCAAGTCTCCCTCCATGGCGGTGCCTTCTCCGGGCTGGGTCGCCTCGCCCAAGACAGCCATGCCCAGCCCTGGGGTCGCCCCGAACAAGCAGCCGCCTCTCAGCATGAACTCATCCTCCACCCTGGGCAGTATGGAGCAGGGTGAGTCAGCATGCGGGTGTGTGGGCACTGGGCTCAGGCGCGGGGCATCTCCAGGTGGGCTCGTGTGGGGCGGGTGATGGAGGAGGCCCCTGGACGGAGATGGGAGGCTCTGCTGGGCTTTCCCAGGAGCACATGCTAATCTCTAGGCATTTTGAGGGGTCACACTTGTGATCTCCCACCGTCTGGGCCCCCAAGGCTGTAGGAGCTGCTTGGAGAAGGGTGGGCTGCAGTGACAATAGTGGGAGGGCCTGGGTGTAGGGGACACCTGGGTGGAGGTACGCCTGGAGGACCTGGTGGAGGTGTGGGGCTGACCCCTCGTGCACCCCCAGTATGAACAGCCAGGTTCATCTCCCCCTCCCCCCCGTCACCCTGCTCTGTCTCCCGCTTCCGTAGGTGCCCTCCCGCCCGGCGGTCCCCGGAGCAGCTCCTCGGCGCCTCCCGCCAACCCCACCGGCGGCCTCATGACCCCCAGCCTGCCGTTCACTTCCTCCCCAGATCCCTCGCCGTCCCAGAACCCGCTGTCGCTGATGATGTCCCAGATGTCCAAGTACGCCATGCCCAGCTCCACGCCGCTCTACCACAACGCCATCAAGACCATCGCCACCTCGGACGACGAGCTGCTGCCCGACCGGCCCCTGCTGCCCCCGCCACCACCGCAGGGCTCCGGGCCAGGTGCGGGGCTAGGAAAGGGCCCGGGGGATAGCTGATGTGGGCCCTGGGGGCGAGGAGAGTGGGCATGGCGCGGTCACCCCTGTGGGCATGCTGGCTGTTGTGTGCTCCCTCACGGCCCTTGGCGTAGGGGGTGGTGTCCCGGACACTATTCCCACTCGCAGTCATTTAGGGAAACTAAGCCCAGGCCACGCAGGGGTCTGTCCAGCACCCGGAGATGTGTCCGTGGCAACCTGGGCCAGACCTGGATCTCTTGGCTTCTCACCTTCATGCCTCGCGCCCCTTTCCTTGTAGCTGGGGCAGGCCGATGTGAGGGTCCTCCCTCCTGGCACCAGCTGGTACCTGGAGTTCCTCATCCCTTTTTCTCTTTCCCCACAGGGATCAGCACCAACCAGTCCAACCCGATGCACCTGAACTCAGCTGCTGCCCAAAGCCCCATGGGCATGACCCTGCCAGGCCAGCAGCCCCTGTCCCACGAGCCCCAGCCTGCCATGCTCCCCTCCCCCACCCCTCTGGGTTCCAACATTCCACTGCACCCCAATGCTCAGGGGACAGGGGGGCCTCCTCAGAACTCAATGATGATGGCTCCAGGGGGCCCAGACTCCCTGAATGCTCCCTGTGGCCCTGTGCCCAGCTCCTCCCAGATGATGCCCTTCCCCCCACGGCTGCAGCAGCCCCATGGCGGCGGCGCCATCCCCAGTGGGGGTGGGGGACCGGGCCTACAGCAGCACTACCCCTCGGGCATGCCCCTGCCCCCCGAGGACCTGCCCGGCCAGCCACCTGGCCCCATGCCCTCCCAGCAGCACCTGATGGGCAAAGGCATGGCTGGGCGCATGGGCGACGCGTACCCGCCGGGTGTGCTCCCAGGGGTGGCATCCGTCCTGAACGACCCCGAGCTGAGCGAGGTGATCCGGCCCACCCCGACGGGGATCCCCGAGTTCGACTTGTCCAGGATCATCCCCTCGGAGAAGCCAAGCAGCACCCTCCAGTACTTCCCCAAGAGCGAGAACCAGCCCCCCAAGGCCCAGCCCCCCAATCTGCATCTCATGAACCTGCAGAACATGATGGCGGAGCAAACCCCCTCACGGGCCCCCAACCTCCCAGGCCAGCAGGGTGTCCAGCGGGGGCTCAACATGCCCATGTGCCACCCTGGACAGATGTCCTTGCTGGGCAGGACAGGTATGCCCCCGCAGCAGGGCATGGTGCCCCACGGTCTGCACCAGGGGGTCCTGTCCCCGCCGCAAGGCCTCATGACCCAGCAGAATTTCATGCTGATGAAGCAGCGGGGCGTGGGGGGCGAGGTCTACAGCCAGCCCCCCCACATGCTCTCCCCGCAGGGCTCCCTCATGGGGCCCCCGCCCCAGCAGAACCTCATGGTGTCCCACCCTCTGCGGCAGCGCAGCGTGTCTCTGGACAGCCAGATGGGCTACCTCCCCGGCCCGGGCGGCATGGCCAACCTGCCCTTCTAGCACTCCCTGCCTGGGGCCGGGCAGCACTGCAAATAGTGTCACCTGAAAAGTGTCTTCCCTCCAGTGTTGGGGTGACCTGGGGTCCAGGGTGGGTTGGAGGGTGGGAGGGGCTTGTGTGGGGAATGGCATTTGTGGCAACCAGACGTGCTGGCAGCTGAGTGGGATGGCAGTGGGAGGGCTCTGGGTAGGGAGTTGTTCCATGTGGCCATCAGACCATCCCACCCCACCCCCAAGTCCTTGGAGCCTGTTTTCCCTGTGTCTCTGCACCCCTCACTCAGCTCTGTGTTCCGAGTCCCGTGTGGAGTCCTCGGAGGGGAGAGGAAGAGGAGGTGACATCTCCCTTCTCCATCCCCCCTTCCCACCACTCTCTCCAGTGCCCAGCCTTGCTGCTCCTGGTTCTGCTCCCACCTGGTTCTTCTCTTTTCCTGCCTCATCTCCTCTCTCTGCTGCTGTGGCTGACCCCCTCACCCCCTCACCGCCCCCCGCCCCGCAGGTGGCCGGCCAGGTGGGCGGGGCTGCCCTGGCGCATGGAGAGCTGCGCTTTGTGCTGGTCTGTGTGCGCCTCAGTCCTGTGCTTTGACAGAGGTCACCCAAAGGAGGGATGGAAGAAGCTCCTCCCCTCTTTCAGATTACTGCCCCGGGCCTGCAGCCTGACACACCTGTCTGCTGCTCACAGCACCTCTGGGTCTCTAGAGGGTGCCATTCTGGTACCCCCAAATGGGGAAATGAGAGCCCAAACCTGATGCATAACCCACACCTGATAGAATGTCCAAACCTGACAGATGGCCCACCCCTGACATAGCCCTGCACACCTGACAGAAAGCCCCCCACACCTGACATAGCCCCCCACACCTGACATAGCCCCGCACACCTGACATAGCCCACACACCTGACATAGCCCCCCACACCGGAC